CATGCTCCTCCAGGTCCCCCTTCCCTCCGCTCACCAGCCTTCTGTTGGCGCTTCCGTGAATCAATGCCAATAATAAGGTTCGCGAAAGGACCTTTGTCGGGAGAGGTGTTTGGTTTTGTTTCTTGTTTTCAAGGCGTCAACACAATGTGCCACATGTCCACGGGGTGTGCTGGGATCTTTTTACTTCCATGCAACTGGCCTCCACGTGCTGACCTTGCCTTTGACAAGATGGGTGGAGAAACACTCCTTGGTTAACAGGAAAATGATTTCCAAGCCTTTCATCTTCCCTCTTTAGTGAGGAAGCTATTCATTATCAGAATCGCACAGGTGATTGTGATTAATAGTATAGCAACTCCATGAAATTAATTTTCCAAGGTCGCTGTGAAAAATTATCTTCTTCCATTTCTAGCTGCCCTAAATCTTCCACCTTTAAAACAATCTGCTACCTCTAAATTTTGTCAAATTTAACCCTCTTGTGTCTTAATAAAATCCAGCCTTGCCCTAGCTGGTATGACTCAGTGGATAGAGCTTTGGCCTACAGAATAAAGGATCCTGGGTTTGATTCTGGTCAAGGGCACATGCCCAGGTTGCGGGCTCGATCCCCAGTAGGAGGCATGCAGGAGGCAGCTGTTCAATGGCTCTCTCATCTTTGATGTTTGTATCTCTCTCCCCCTCTCCCTTCCTCTCTGAAATCAATAAAAATATATTTTTTTTAAAAAAAATCCAGCCTTAACTATAAAAAAGAATGAATGAAGCAATGATAACACACATATAAGACAAACGAACAGAGGAGAGAATTTTCATGAACTGAACACACCAGTATGATCAAGATTCAGAAGCAATTTCAACTCTCTCTGGATCTTCAATGCACTCTTTACTAAATCTTACGACCAGTCTGTCACATGGAGTGTAACCCTTTAGGTACAGTCACATTCAATTATGTGAATATAAGTTTTCATCCAAACATACAAAAAGAATATTTTAACAAATATCAAAAGATTATTGTCTCAATGAGGTGTAGCCAGTAAAATCACTGGATTCCTCTGTTGTTGTCAGTCAAAATATTTAAATAATTATGATCCTTGGGACACAAGACAACTTCTTTCAAACATGCCTCAAATTTTAAAAGTGTAACGAAGGCCCTGGCCTGTGTGCTAACTGATTAGAGCACATGTGTCAAACACAAGGCCCGCGGGCCAAATCCGTCCCGCCAGGCCTTGCAATGTGGCCCGCACCGTGCTGTCATCACTGCACTCCACTGCGTTTCCATCACAATGACAGTTTATGACTGTTCAGTAAACCATTCGGCCCGCGATTTAGGCTGGATTTTAGATTTTGGCCCCTTCTCTGATTGAGTTCGACACCCCTAGATTAGAGGGTCGGCCCACTCACTGAAGGGTTCAGGTTCGATTCCTGGTCTAGGGCATGTACCTGAGTTGCGGGTTCTGTCCTTGGTACCCCAGGGTGTGTGCAGAAGACAACCAATCAATATGGCTCTCTCATATCGATGTTTCTCTCTCTCCTTCCCTCCCTCTCTCTAAAAATCAATGAGGAAAGTATCCTCGGGTGAGGATTAGCAAAACAAACAAACAAAAAATAGTCACAATGTGAGAATTCTATTCAAGGGAGGAAAACATGACAAACGTGATTGAAACAGTCACAGCAGCACTAATAGCCACGTTGGGGGTTGTTTCTGGTGGAGAGTTGTGGGCGTGGATATGCACATGCTGGCTTTCCTCACCCATTCTGATAGGGACACCCTCCATGCCCCACAGCACAGCACTCAGGAGGCTTCCTGAGGAAGGACATGAACCTTCTTCCCACAGCACACTGCCCTGGAGGCGCCATGAGGACAGAGAAGCAGGCTCCTGCTGCAGGTTCCTGGGCTCCAGCTGGGTCCTGGGTCTGAGCCACTCACAAATGTTCCTCCTGCCTGAGGACTCCCGTTTCCTGCGGGTGCCGGTGCAGGTGTATGATGTGTCTCTCTCACATCGATGCTCCTTTCTGCCTTCACCCGCCCTTCCATTCTCCCTAAAAATTAGTTGGAACAAGACCTTCTGGTGAGGATTTTTTTTCAAAAGCAACAAACTAACAAAACAAAAACTCACAGATACAGAAAGCAGAACAGTGATTACAGAGGGGAAGAGGGTGAGAGAAGGACGACAGGGGAAGGGGGTCAGACACCGTGATGAAAGGAGACTAGACTTGGGTGCTGAGCACACAATGCACAGGCGCCGTAGCATAGAAATGTGCCTGAAGTGTGTGCCTTATTCACCAAGGTACCTCGTACATTTAGTGGAAAAGGGGACCAAGCAAAAATAAAGTAAGAGCACAGGCAGCTTCTAGTCCGACTGCAGGGGGCAGTGCAAGCACAGATGGGCGAGGAGCAATTTCCATACAAATTGTTAACTTTCTGGGGAAAGGTGAGTACAAGGTGTCACAGGTGGATGAGCGGGGTCACAGCCATTCATAAAAAATTAGATGATTGATAGAGATAGATAGATAGATAGATAGATAGATAGATAGATAGATAGATACATACATACATACATACATACACACACACATAGATACATAGATACATAAATACATAGATGATAGATAGGTTATGGATAGATATATAGATAGATACATAGATACATAGATAGATACATAGATAGATGATAGATAGAGACAGAGACTGACAGAGACAGAGATAGAGACAGACAAGATAGATAGATAGAGAGATATATATGTTTCTTATATTACTTCTTTGAATGGAATTGAATCCATTAATGCACAGGGGTCCAGTGCAGACTCAGGTCCTACCTAAACAAATTAAAAACCTCAAGTCAATCCCACGTCATGCACACTACTTGGTTGAAACCCCTCGGCGTCCTGAATGCCACCCTAGAGGACGTGAGGCTAACCAGACATGCAGAGCCATGCCTTACGCCTCAGATCATCACCATCTCAAGGCACCTCTGGGGTCTGGGAGGCCCATGGAGACACATGCACAGTCTCATCAGGAGTCCGTTCTGGGCTCCTGTGGCGCTGCTGCTCCGCCCTTACCTGTGTCTTCTTTTTCTTCCTTTTTCTTTTTTAAAAACATATTTTGTTGATTTTTCACAGAGAGGAAGAGAGAGAGATAGAGAGTTAGAAACATCAATGAGAGAGAAACATAGATCAGCTGCCTCCTGCACACCCCCTCCTGGGCCTGTGCCCGCAACCAATGTACATGCCCTTGACCAGAATCGAACCTGGGATCTCTCAGTTCTCAGGCCGACGCTCTATCCACTGAGCCAAACCAGTCAGCTTGCACCTGTGTCCTTCGAATGGTGTGCATTTCAGACCAGCACTGACAGGGGTCATGGGCAGAGACGAGCAGAAGGAAGGGACCCACCTTCCACCAGGAGGCAGCCCTTCTGTGGCCTCCTCTCCTCTTCTGGTCCCCTGGCCAGATCACAAGGGAGCTGCCCTCCGAGACCTTCCGCCGGATCCTGACATGGCCGAGGACTGGACACAGCTGGTCCTCCTTCCCTTCAGGCCCTCAAGGCCTGTGGTCCTCACTGTGGGTGACGGGCGGCCGTGCAGGCACATCGCCAGCTGCCTGACACAGGGCCACGAGCAAGAGCCAACCAGCAGCTTAGTAACCACATAGCGCAGCGCCTGGTCCAGCGGCCAGCTGACCGCCCGGCGAAAGCCTCATGCGAATGGGATGGCACTGGCGAAAGGCTGCAGGTGACAGGCAGGGTGCTCAGAGCAGAGGCACTCCCTGGGTGAGGGCCAAGTGGCAGCAGCGTGCAGGAAGCACAGAGGCAGCGAGAGCATCGCCCACTGGGAAGAGCATGATGGCCATGGAGCCTGTACCTTCCCACCCGAGGCTGGCCTTCGCTGCCCTGACAGAAAAGCACTGACTTGGTGCTTCCTTCCCGGGAGGGCAGATGGAACAGCGAGAGGGCAAACCTGCCGAGGCCCGGCACCTGGGATGCGCCCAGAGAGGGAGCCTCAGTTGGGATCAGTGACGTGGGGTTTCCCCTGGTTCCGTGGAGGGAACCCCACGAGAAAGACAGGCTGGAAGGGGTCTTGAACTGTTGCCATGTCACAGGGTCACGGGGACCCTGGGGAGGGGGCTGTTCAAGGTGGAGCCTAGGAGGAGGACTAAGCTTCCCTCTGACAGGGGGACTTAGAATCAGAGCATCTGAAGTAATCTGAAAACTAACCACATTATTTTAAATCTTAGATCACATGTCCTTATGTGACTAGGACAGTGGTCGGCAAACTCACTAGTCAACAGAGCCAAATATCGACAGTACAATGATAGAAATTTCTTTTGAGAGCCACATTTTTAAACTTAAACTTCTTCTAACACCACTTCTTCAAAATAGAGTCGCCCAGGCCGTGGTCTCTTATGGAAGAGCTGCATGTGGCTCTGTGCCGCAGTTTGCCATCCACAGGGCTAGGGGGTTAAGATTTTCCTAAGTTTCCTTTTCTCGGCCTGTGTGAAGCAATTAAGGAGGTGATGCAGCCAGGAGTCCAGCAAGCAGAACCGATAAGCAATGGTCAGGCCGACCGACCAGGTGTCAAAACCTCATCCCATCAACATCCTCCCATCAACATCCTCCCTTCAACACCCTCTCATCAACACCCTCTCATCCCCTGGTGACTAAGGACCAATAGCTGACGTCTGTCCCCTGCCTCAGCCTACCCCTTCCCCGTTATAACCCTGTCCCCTGCACCTTTCAGTAAGACAGGACTTGATGCTTGTAAGCACCCTATTCCTTGTTGGCCGGCCTTCTCAACAAACACTTCTGTGCTCCAACCCTGCCTTCGAATTGGACACAGCGACAGGCAGCCCAAGCCCACCCAGCATTCCCAGTAACACATCCCCAGTAAACACCTCTCCACACCTCCCAGCAAGACACCATCAAAGGGAAAACCCGTGGGACCTAAATAGATCATGAGTGACATGTCACCACCCCCATACACAATGAATGACTGTGGGACGGCTCCCAAAGGAGCTGAAGGAATAGGAAAACACAAAGAGTAAATATACAAGACAACAACTTCAGAAAAGGTGCTATAATTTAATCAGTCCTTAGGAGAGGGCTTGCAAGGAGACACCAGCCTCTGGCTCGATGGAACGAGGCCACTACCTCGCCCGGGTCAGAGCCGTCCCAGTGGGCAGCTGGGCCCCCGTGGGCTTGGTCTGGTTCACGTTCATCCTCCTGGACTTGTCCACGGTCCGCACCGCCTTCTTCACCCAGTTGGCATGTGGGTCGGCACAGACTTTAAGGCCACGTTTGGTGATGAATCTGCGATGTGAGGAAAAGGCAGACAAAGTGAGCCGCGTCCCACAGCCCGGGCCAGGAGTTCAGATCAGACCGGCTCGCAGAGCTCTTACAGAAACTTCTGGACCAAACAGGTGTTTGGACCCCGAGCGCACGCATGCAAAGCTTTCTCCTACAGCCGTTTTAACACCCAGGAGACGTGTCTCCAGGTGATCCTGTAACCCCAGGCTCCTCTCTCAGCAGAGCCCCGAGGGGCCTGTGACAGCATCTGGTCCAGTGACCACATCCCAGCCCTTCCTTTTCAAACCTGAGGCACTCATCCCATTTTCTGCACAAAAGCTGCTCTCTTTCTCTTAGTTCTCTGAGCAGCATTGAAGTTACTACAGGTTGGGAAGAGCTGCTATTCTGAAAATGAGGTCCCGGGGCAATGCGGGCCAGTTTGGTACACATTGTGGGGAGACATGGCCACTGGCCACATGGCACCCACATTCCCCCACTCCACATAAAAGGGAGGGGCCCGAGGATTCCATCGGAGTGCGGCTCAAACTCTCTGAACTTGACCCTCAGCCCTGAGCAGTGTCCTCCGGTGCTGCTCGGGCTCCTGCTGAAACTGCCTCAGAGAGGAGGAGGATGGGGGCTCTGGTGGCCGCACTTTGGTGACAGCCACTCTGTGGGCTGCGCAGGGCAGGGTGACCGTGGGGGGACCCAGGGGCCGCTGGCGGAGGGGAGGTCGCCGCCCATGTGGACATGCTTCCCGGCGGAGGACTTCCACCGCCTGGCCACCCAGCCCAGCCCGGGGGACACTCACATGACTGCCTTCATGGGCCCCTCCTTGATGGTGTAGGTCTTGATTCTGCTCACGGGCAGCGGCTGGGTAGTCAGGCTCAGACAGATTTGCTGATCCAGGACCTCAGTCCCCACACCTGGTGAAGAAGCCAAGCAGACAGAGATGCCATGTAACTTCGATGGTACAAGCATTACCGTGTGACCAAGGAAACAACAGAGAGTGGTTTGTGACCAGATAGGGGGAAGGGCACCATTCAATACACCGGGACAGCGTGGTTTTGTTCTCGCTTAAATGGCGAGACAAGAGCCACGGGAAGGAAGTGGTTCAGAGAGCATCGTCCTCAGTGGCACGGCCCCCGGGGAGCTGACGGTTCGATTAGGAACCCCCTCCCCTGGCGGAGGGGGGGCTGGGAGAGTGAGTGACATTTCGGTTTGGGGTGCTCTCACCCATTTCCAGGTGCTGCTTTCTCCTCAGCTGAAGGGCCTGGTGTGTTGCCCAGAGAACTATTCAGCTGCAAACCACCTTAAGTAACAGCTGGGGCTTTCATTTTTAAATATATTTGTGTTTATATCACAGAGTAAGGGAGAGAGGAAGAGAGAGAAACATCACTGATGAGAGAGAATCATCGATGGGCTGCCTCCTGCATCCTCCCTACTGGGGATCCAGACCACAGCCCGGGCATGTGCCCTGACCGGAATGGAACCTGGGACCCTTCCGTCCCCAGGCCAAGCTCTATCCACCAAGCCAAACCAGCTAGGGCCAGCCAAACCTTCTTTTCATATGAACCAAACAAAGGTGTTTGCTACCTTGCCCTCTTGGTCTCTCCTCTCCATCACTTCCTATCGGTCTCAGAACCCATTTCTCTCATCACTTAAGGAAAAACATTTTCCTGTGAAATATCCAACGTGGGCTCCCGGGCCCAGTGAGTCCACTGGCCTCTGAGTCCCCACAGCTCCTCCCTCCACCCGGCTGTGCCTGCATGACTGGGGATCCAAGGTCAGGCCCGAGGCTGCCTCTCCCTGGATGTGCAGCAGCGGCTCAGGGCAGGATGCGAGAGGAATGGGAAACTGGCCAGAGTCCTCAGTCGGTCCGCTCAAACAGTGTCTCCCCAGCCACACCTGGTCTCCACAGATGGCCCAGCGACTGGAGGTAAACGCCAGAACGTGGCAACATCTGGCCATCGCTAGTAGCCTTACACTTTTATATATATATATATATATATATATATATATATATATATATATATATATATATATATATATATAATTTCAGAGAGGAAGGGAGAGGGAGAGAGAGACAGAAGCATCAGTGATGAGAGAATCATTGATCTGCTGCCTCCTGCACTCCCTCCAGTGGGAGCAGTATCAGCCACCCCAACTTCTCCCACCCTCTCTAGGGCAACACTGATTTCTCTTAGGAAGGTGTAAGCTTCCAGTCTATTTTTTAAAGCAGAAAACCCTGACTCGTTTCAGAACACACACCCTCTAGCCTAGGGGTGTCGAACTCAATCAGAGAAGGGGCCAAAATCTAAAATCCAGCCTAAATCGCAGGTCTAATGGTTTACTGAACAGTCATAAACTGTCATTGTGATGGAAACGCAGCGGAGTGCAGTGATGACAGCGCTGTGCAGGCCACATTGCAAGGCCTGGCAGGACGGATTTGGCCCCTCGGGCCTTGTGTTTGACACATGTGCACTAGCCCATCCTTTCCTTCTGCACTAAACTCTCAAAGCTTTTGAGACCTCATCGGGCTCAGTATCAGCCGGACGATGCTACAGCGGCCTCTCCTGTCCTCAGCACTGTCCCACCACCGCATTCCCCAGGGAGAAAACCCAGGAGCGGCCCTCAGAGTGAGTGCACTGTGACCCCAGGGGAGACCTGTTCCTGTCCCCACCCACAGATGGCCGGGCATGGGCCCAGAGACATGGAGAGATCCCCAACCCTCCCTCTCTGAGCCCGGCCCTGAGGCCAACCATGAGGCCCGCTCCTCTCACAACTCTCATGCCCGCTCTGCCCCGGGGAAGCCTGACCTGCGGTGGCAGGGCCTCCAGGCCACAGCGAGTCCAAAGGGAAGCCTGTGCCCCGTGGCAGCCCCGCCACTCACCTTCCACAGCGCGCAGCGCCAGGCAGCAGAGCCCCAGGAGGACGAGCAGCAGAGGCCTCATGCTGGTGAGCGAGCAGAGCCAGAGGAGGATGAGCCCAGGCTGCCCGTGGGTCTCTTTTATCCCCATGGTCAGGGCTTCCTGTGCGAGAGGGGCTTCCAGGTGGGCGGGCCATCGCGGAAAGTCTGGGCAGCACTGAGGCTTTTCTGAAAGTTCCCCTGTCACAGTCCCCCCCCCCCCCCCCTGTGGCCTCCCCTTTTCACCTGTGGTTAAAGCGTCAATGAAAGCAAGTGTGCGCTTACAACCAACCGGCGGCCGCACCTCCTGCCCCAGCCTCCACTCAGATCTTCCGCTGTCCCCGCGGCCTGGCCCGTGTCCCTGTCCCGGCGTGCGGACCGCGGAAAGGAAAGGTGGTCCGTGGTCGGGTTCCCACCTGCCTCCCGGGACACGCTGTGAATGGCTCCCGCCATCCGGGGGGACTCCGGAGGGGAAGGCCACAGCTGCCCCTCGGAGCTCTCAGTCCTCTGCCTTCTCTCTCTTCTCATCCCTCCCCCAACCCCAGACCCTATTTCGGTGACCCCACTTTGTCACACCACCCGCCCAGGGACTCAGGGACATTTCGGCCACGGTGCTGGGAGTGTGTCTAGAGGCACCTCCCTTTATGGCAACGGAGTATCCACCTTTTTACAGTTTCTGAAAGTTGTCCTGACATGAACATTGTTTTGGAAAGAGAAAGAGAGAGAGGACAAAATCGACCATGCTGGCATTTTTCATTCTTCATGTTTTCCATGGAGTCTCTATTGGTGTCCATCTGCTTGCATAGTTGCAATAATTATAAACACTGTTTTACAGTCAAGGTAACTCTCTTCCATGTTTCGATCACAGACACGTTGAAACACTTCCTTTAGCTAATTGCTGTAGATCCCTTCTCTACGGGATCTTTCTCTACGGGATCTTTGACTTTCACTAAGGACCCTGAGTCATTTCCCATCAGCAACCAGGTCCAGGATGCTTAGCAAAACCATCCACTCAGCTCCACAGACTCGGGGTCCCCTAGCAGGTGTAGGGACCCAGCGAGCAATACCTCCAGTAGGACTTGTGTGTTAGCCCTCAATTCATCCTTGTTTTCCTCTTGTCTGGCTCTGCACAGGTATGGATAAGATGTACTACTTAGATACGTGTGTCACTAAAACAGTGTCCCACTGCACCTACACACTGCTCTCAGCCCTGTGCTGGGTACACCTGCTAATCGCTCTTCCGTGTGTCTCCTCCTCTCTTCCCACCCTGGTCCGGGCAGGACCTCATCACCCCTTGCTGGGACCAGTGCAGTAGACAAACTGGGGTCCCATTCCCAGTGATGGGGAAAATGAGGCATTCTGGGGGTCCAGCAATCTGAACTGGGCCATTAACCTAACACACATTCTTCTTAGCCTTTCGTCTAGTCTCTGCCCCTTTAATTGTCTGGTCCTCCCATTCCAGAGAGACCATGAACCATCCCCAGGCAGAGTTATCAGTGCTGGTGCCAGGCCAGGCCTTTAGTTGTGGTCTCAAGACCCCAGCACATGGGGCTCTCTAAGAACTTGCAAAGGGGACCAGAAAACCCTAATTTGGGAAACAAAGAACTGGAAAAACTAAAAATAGGGAAAGCTTCCTCTATGCTTTTTGCCCAGAATGTGAAAGATATTTTTCTCTGAGCCTGGATTAATAATAATTCAGTGTAACTTCCTTTCTCTAAGCGTTGCTTGGTTTTCTCCGGTTTTCTGTAACACCAGGTCACCTCCCTATCCCATCTGCTCTCCAGACACCGCCCAGGAGTCCCTCCGCAGCCCTCAGGGAGGAGTGCTGCTCCTGCTGGGAACCTCTTGGTCAGTTCCCATTGTCCACGCTCTCCTGTCCAGACTCTCCCTGTCAGACACCGGGCTGCTCAAGAGCTGACCCCACGCCACCTCTCAGACTCACTCAGCCCCACCACCCACCCGCCTGCTCCCAGGCCTGCACCTCAGCTGATGTGCGTGCAGTCAGCCACATATGCCATCCTCCTTCTCACTCCCACATGCGGCTTCCTTCACCTCAAAGGCCATCCCTGCTCCCAATGTGACTACAAACTGACTGTTTTCTCCTCTCTTGGTAACATTCAGGTATGTAACACAAGACTTACTGATCTCCAGAAACTATTCATCTCCATGTCCCACTAGCGTCCCAAATCCTCCAGACAAATAGTAGCTGTGCCACCCTTTGGCCCAGGGCCCTTGCTCTCACCACCATCCCATCACTAACTCATCCGACTCCCCCAGAATATCATTCCCGCGTCGCCCACCGAACGGCACCTGCTGAGCGGGCAGCGTGCCCGCGCCCTCCAGGTCCTAGCAGAACCGAAGGTCTGCTAGGGAGTCGGCTCTCCCCGGACCATTTCTGAACAAGCGAGTTCTTCCTGAAGGGCCAGGACCTGCTGACGGGGCACTAGGTGAAGGGGAGCACCTACAAACGTGAATCCCAGAATGGTGCCTGTGGCTCTCCCTTAGTTTTTCAGTCCAACTGACGGTCTGACCAGTGGCTCCCTTTTTATGATGGCATCTTGAAATACAATCTCTCCAGCCCCTGGGCGGCAGGCCTCACTTTCGGTTTTCAGAGCGTGACTAGAGTCTGGTGGAGAAGAACTATGTCAGAGACAAGAAAACAGAAACTCACTTCAAAAAATGGCGTGACTGGCCAATGTGCAGGCACGGGCTGAGGATGTTGGTCAGAAAAATGTCTCCCACCTCTGACTCCTCTCTTTCCCTTACAAGCCACAAACACCAGCAAACACCATTGGCTTTCTGTCCTCAAACAGAACCTAAAGTCTTCTCACCTCTGCAACACTTCCGACTGCAAGCCATTCCCCGCTTCCGCCCCCCTCTGTCTTCCCCTCCCCGGCCCCCACCCTCACCTGAGTGGGCAGATTCCTGCCACAGCCTCTCCTGCTTCCTGCTCCATTCTCCTCTGTCAGCCAGCTCACCAACCTGCCAAGGTGACCGTTTCAGCTGTAAGTCATAGCGTGTCCCTTCTCTGCTCAAAGTCTTCCAATACCTCCCCATTTTTGTCTACTAACTCCAAAGTCCCCCTCTGGTTTCTTAAGATACTAGAGGCCCAATGCACAAAAATTTGCCCAAGAGTAGGCCTTCCTTCCCTTGGCTGCGGGCACCAACTTCCCCCTGGCACCTGGGACCAGCGCTGATTCCCTCCAGCCCCAGTTTCAACAGGAAAGATGTCTGGAATGATTTCCAGAAGACACCCGGTCTAATTAGCATATTACCCTTTTATTATTATAGACTAGAGGCCCAGTGCACGAAATTCATGCACATGGAAGGGGGGGTGTCCTCCAGCCCAGCATGCACCCATAGGATTGGGCCTAAATGGTCAGTTGGACATCCCTCTCACAATTCAGGACTGCTGGCTCCCAACTGCTTGCCTGCCTGCCTTCCTGATGGCCCCTAACCACTTCTACCTGCCAGCCTGATCACCCTCTAGTCATCCCCCTGCTAGCCTAATTGATGCCTAACTGCTCCCCTGCCAGCCTGATTGCCCCTAACTTCCCTCCCCTGCAGGCCTGAGTCCCCCCCTCTCCCCTTGAACTGCCCTTCCCTGTAGGCCCAGTTGCTCCCCACTTCCCTCCTCTCCTGGCCTGATCACCCTTAGATCCCCTCTCCTGCAGGCTTGATCAGCCACAACCACCCTCCCTTGCAGGCCTGGTCCCTCCCAACTGCCCTTCCTTGCAGGCCTGGTCCCTCCCAACTGCCCTGCCCTGTCGGCCATCTTGTGGCAGCTATCTTCTGTCCACATGGGGGCAGCCATCTTGTGTGTTGGAGTGATGCTCAATTTGCATATTACTCTTTTATTAGATAGGATAGATTATTGACATAAAACATTGTGTAAGTTTAAGGAGTTGGATATTATCATTTGATACTCATATATTTTGCAAAACTATTAACCCAATGAGGTTAATTAATACCTCCATCATCTCACATAATTACCTCTTTGTGTGTGTGGTGAGCACATTTAAGATCTCTCTTCCTAACGTTCACGTATGTAACAAAGGACTCACTGATCTCCAGAAACTATTCATGTCACATTAGCCAATTGTGCCCTTTGACCAACATCTCTGCACTCCTCCCCTCCCCAACCCCTGACAACTTCCATTCTCTCTAGACAATGAGTTTCACTTCAGTGGATTCTACCTCTGGGATGCTGTACAGTATCTTTCTCTGCTCTGTCTTAATTCACTTAGCATAATGCCCTCAAGGCCCATCCATATTTCATAGATGGTAGTATTTCCTTCTTTTTAAATCCTCACCCGAGGACATTTTTTTTACTGATTTTAGAGAGAGAAGACCAGAGGATGAGAGAGAAACTTTGGTCTGAGAAGCATTGATTGGTTGCCTCCCATAGTGCCCCGATCAGGGATCGAACCCACCGCCCTTTGGGCTGTGGGACAATGCTGCCATCCACTGAGCCACCAGCCCGGCCCTTTCTTTTTACTGTATGAAATTCCATTGTACACAGACACCACAGCTCCTCCCCGTCAGTCGGTGGACCCTCAGGTTGTCCCTGTCTTGGCTGTGGTGACTGGTGTCGCTGTGAGCACGGAGGTGCTGCTGTCTCAGGACAGTGACTTCATTTCCTTCGCCCACATGCCCAGGAGAGCAGCTGGGTCACACGAGTGCTGTTTCCCCGTGGCTGCACCAAATTACATCCCCAACAGTGCACAGGTCTCCTTTCGCCACATATTTGCCAATTCTTATCTCTCCCCTGCTTGATAACAGGTGTGGGTGTTATCTCGCTGTGGTTTGGTTTTCATTCTTTGCCAGATTAGCGATGCTGTGGAGATTCCTGATCGGTTCCTCTGTCTATTTTTACTGGATTGTTGTTGTTGTTTTGTTATTAATGTTATATATTAAAAGTATATAATTAGGCATAGCCGGTTTGGCTCAGTGGGTAGAGCATTGGCCTGGGGACTGAAAAATCCTGAGTTCGATTCCAGCCAAAGTCATATGCCCAGGTTGTAGGCTCAACCCCCAGTAGGAGGTGTGCAGGAGGCAACTGATCAATGATTCTCTCTCATCATTGATGTTTCTCTCTCTCTCTCTCTCTCTCTCTCTCTCTCTCTCTCTCTCCTTCTCCTTACCTCTCTGAAATCAATAAAAGTATTTTTTAAACCCAGCCTTAAATATAAAAAGGAATGAATGAAACAACGATTTCCTTTAATTTTTTATTGAAATATAACACACATATAAGACAGAAAATTTCAACTCACTCTGGATCTTCAATGCACTCTTCACTAGATCTTATGAGTCTATCACGTGGAATGTAACCTTTTGGGTACATCACATTCAATTATGTGTTTGCATCCAAACATACAAAAAATTGTTTAACACATATCAAAGGATCGTTGTCTCAGTGAGGTGTGTCCACTGGATTCCTCTGCTGTTGTCAGTCAAACTATTTAAATAATTCTGGTTCTTGCAACCCAAGACAACTTCTTTCAAACACGCCACAAATTTTAAAAGTGTAACGAAGCCCTGGCCTGTGTGCTAACTGGTTAGACTCCGGGTCGGCCGCTCACTGAAGGGTTCAGGTTCGATTCCTGGTCTAGGGCATGTACCTCAGTTGTGGGTTCTGTCCCTTGCACCCCAGGGTGTGTGCGGAAGGCAACCAATCAATATGGCTCTGTCACATCGATGTTTCTCTGTTTCTTAAATTACTTCTTTCAATGGAATTGAATCCACTAACCCACAGGGGTCCAGTGCCCAGACTCAGATCCTACCTAAACGAATTAAATACCTCCAGTCAATTCATCCCACATCATGCACACTGCTTGGTTGAAACCCCTCGGCGTCCTGTACACCACCCTAGAGGATCTGAGGCTAACCAAACGTGCAGAGCCGTGCCTTCCGCCTCGGATCATCACCATCTCACGGCACCTCTGGGGTCTGGGAGGCCCATGAGAAACACATGCACAATCCCGTCAGAAGTCGGTTCTCGGCTCCTGTGGCTGGTTCTCCGCCTCACCAAGCTCCTGTGTCCTTCTTGGTGTGTGTTTCAGACCAACACTGACAGGGTCGTGGCCAGAGATGATGAGAAGGGAAGGACCCACCTATCACCAGGAGGCAGCCTTCCGTGGCCTCGGTTCCAGTCCACTGGCTGGATCATGTAAGGGAGCTGCCCTCTGAGACCATCCACCAGATCATTGCATGGCCAAGGGCTGGACACAGCTGGTCCTCCTTCCCTTCAGGCCCTCAAGGCCTGTGGTCCTCACTGTGGGTGGCGGGTGGCAGTGCAGGCACATCGCCAGCCGCCGGACACAGGGCCACGAGCATGAGCCAACCAGCAGCTTAGTAATCTCACAGCGCAGCACCCGATGAAAGCCTCACTGCGGATGGGATGGCACTGGAGAAAGGCTGTAGGTGACGGGGGGAGGGGAGGGGGTGTTCCGAGCTGACAGCACACCCTGGGCAAGGGCCGAGTGGCGGCGGCGCTGCAGGAAGCACAGAGGCAGCGAGAGCATCGCCCACTGGGAAGAGCATGATGGCCACGGTTCCTGTACCTTCCCGCCTGAGGCCGGCCTCCGCTGCCCTGACAGAAAAGCACTGACTTTGTACTTCCTTCCCAGGAGGGCAGATGGAACCGCGAGAGTACAAACTTGCGGAGGCCCAACACCCAGAGAGGGACCGTCCATGGGGTCCAGTGACGCGAGGTTTCCCCTGGTTCCGTGGAGAGAACTCCACGAGAAAGATGGCTGGAAGGGGTCTTGAACTGTTGCCATGTACCAGGGTCACAGGGACCCTGGGGAGGGGACTGTTCAAGCTGGAGCCTAGGAGGAGGACTAAGCTTCCCTCTGACAGGGGGACTTAGAATCAGAGCATCTGAAATAATCTGAAAACTAACCACATTATTTTAAATCTTAGATCACATGTCCTTATGTGACTAGGACAGTGATTGGCAAACTCATTAGTCAACAGAGCCAAATATCGACAGTACAACGATAGAAATTTCTTTTGAGAGCCACATTTCTTAAACCTAAACTTCTTCTAACGCCACTTCTTCAAAATAGGCTCACTCAGGCCATGGTATTTTTGTGGAAGAGCCACACTCAAGGGACCAAAGAGCTGTATGTGGCTCATGAGCCGCAGTTTGCCAGCCACGTGACTAGGGGGTTAAGATTTTCTTAAGTTTCCTTTGCAAGGCCTGTGTGACGCGATTAAGGAGGTGACACAGCTCTGAGTCCAGCAAACAGAACCAAAAATCAATGGTCAGGCTGATCCACCAGGAGTCAAAACCTGATCCCATCAACATCCTCCCTTCAACACCCTCGCATCCCCTGGTGACTAAGGACCAATAGCTGACGTCTGTCCCTGCCTAAGCCTACCTCTTCCCCATTATAACTCTGTCCCCTGCACCTTTCGGTAAGACAGGACTTGATGCTTGTAAGCGCCCTGTCTCCTTGTTGGCTGATCTTCTCAGTAAACACTTATGTGTTCCAACCCTGCCTTCGAATTGGACACAGTGACAGGCAGCCAGAGCCCGCCCAGCGTTCCCAGTAACACATCCCCAGTAAACACCTCTCCACACCTCCCAGCAGGGCACCATCCAAAGGAGATCCCGTAGGACCCAAATGGATCATGTCACCCACCCGCATATGCAATGAATGACTGTGGGACGCCTCCCGTAATAAATATTTATTCATTAAAGCAGCTGAAGGAATAGGAAAACACAAAGAGTAAATATACAAGACAACAACTTCAGAAAAGGTGCTATAATTTAATCAGTCCTTAGGAGAGGGCTTGCAAGGAGACACCAGCCTCTGGCTCAATGGAACGAGGCCACTACCTCGCCCGGGTCAGAGCCGTCCCAGTGGGCAGCTGGGCCCCCGTGGGCTTGGTCTGGTTCACGTTCATCCTCTTGGACTTGTCCACAGTCTGCACCGCCTTCTTCACCCAGTTGGCATGTGGGTCGGCACAGACTTTAAGGCCACGTTTGGTGATGAATCTGCGATGTGAGGAAAAGGCAGACAAAGTGAGCCGCGTCCCACAGCCCGGGCCGGGAGTTCAGATCCGACCGGCTCGCAGAGTTCTTGCAGAAACTCCAGGATGGAGCAGGTGTTTGGACCCTGAGCGCACGCACACATGCAAGGCTTCCTCCTACAGCCCTTTTAACACCGAGGAGACATGTCTCCAGGCGACCCCGTAACCCCAGGCTCCTCTCTCAGCAGAGGCCTGTGACAGCATCTGGTCCACATCCCAGCCCTTCCTTTTCAAACCTGAGGCACTCATCCCATTTTCTGCACAAAAGCTGCTCTCTTTCTCTTAGTTTCTCTGAGCAGCCTCTTAGTTTCTCTGAGCAGCATTGTAGTTACTACAGGTTGGGAAGAGCTGCTATTCTGAAAATGAGGTCCCAGGGCAATGCGGGCCAGTTTGGTACACATTGTGGGAAGACATGGCCACTGGCCACATGGCACCCACATTCCCCCACTCCACATAAAAGGGAGGGGCCCGAGGATTCCATCGGAGTGCGGCTCAAACTCTCTGAACTTGACCCTCAGCCCTGAGCAGTGTCCTCCGGTGCTGCTCGGGCTCCTGCTGAAACTGCCTCAGAGAGGAGGAGGATGGGGGCTCTGGTGGCCGCACTTTGGTGACAGCCACTCTGTGGGCTGCGCAGGGCAGGGTGACCGTGGGGGGACCCAGGGGCCGCTGGCGGAGGGGAGGTCGCCGCCCATGTGGACATGCTTCCCGGCGGAGGACTTCCACGGCCTGGCCACCCAGCCCGGCCCGGGGGACACTCACATGACTGCCTTCATGGGCCCCTCCTTGATGGTGTAGGTCTTGATTCTGCTCATGGGCAGCTGCCGGGTAGTCAGGCTCACACAGATCCGCTGATCCACGACCTCACTCCCCACACCTGGTGAAGAAGCCAAGATGAGATGCCATGTAACTGCGATGGTACAAGCATTACCATGTTACCAAGGAAACAACGGAGAGTGGTTTGTCACAGATACGGAGGAAGGCACCATTCAATACGCGGCGACAGCGTGGTTTTGTTCTCGCTTAAACGGCGAGACGAGAGCCACGGGAAGGAAGTGGTTCAGAGAGCATCGTCCTCAGTGGCACGGCCCCCGGGGAGCTGACGGTTCGATTAGGAACCCCCTCCCTTGGCGGAGGGGGGGCTGGGAGAGTGAGTGACATTTCGGTTTGGGGTGCTCTCACCCATTTCCAGGTGCTGCTTTCTCCTCAGCTGAAGGGCCTGGTGTGTTGCCCAGAGAACTATTCAGCTGCAAACCACCTTAAGTAACAGCTAGGGGTTTCATTTTTAAATATATTTGTGTTGATTCAGAGAGGAAGGGAGAGAGGAAGAGAGAGAAACATCACTGATGAGAGAGAATCATCGATGGGCTGCCTCCTGCACTCTCCCTACTGGGGATCCAGACCACAGCCCGGGCATGTGCCTTGACTGGAACGGAACCTGGGACCCTTCCGTCCCCAGGCCAAGCTCTATCCACCAAGCCAAACCAGCTAGGGCCAGCCAAACCTTCTTTTCATATGAACCAAACAAAGGTGTTTGCTACCTTGCCCTCTTGGTCTCTCCTCTCCATCACTTCCTATCGGTCTCGGAACCCGGAGGGAACCTGGGTTTGCTCTCTGTGTCTCTCTCTACTTAAGGAACAACATTTTCCTGGGACACATCCAACATGGGCTCCCGGGCCCAGCGTGTCCATGGCCTCTCAGTCCACACAGCTCCTCCCTGCTCCCGGCTGTAACTGCGGGATCCAAGGACACAGCACCTTCAGCGGAGCCGGGTCAGGCCCGGGGCTCTCTCCCCTGGATGTGCAGCAGCGGCTCAGGCCAGGGCACCAGAGGAACGGGAACCTGGCCAGTGTCTGCAGTCCGTCCGCTCCCACAGCATCTCCCCACTCACACCTGGTCTCCACAGATGGCCCAGTGACTGGGAGGCAAAATGCCAGCCCATGGCAACATCTGGCCATCGCTAGTAGTCATATATAGTCATATATATATATATATATATATATATATATATATATATATATGTATTTGAGAGAGAAAGAGAGAGAGGGAGAGAGAGATAGAAACACCAATGATGAGAGAATCATTGATCCGCTGCCTCCTACACACCCTCCAGTGGGGACAGAGCCTGCCACCTGGGCATATGCCCTGACCGGTCATCAAACTTCCACCTCCTGGTTCATAGGTTGAAACTCAGCCACTGAGCCACACCAGTCAGGCCTTCATCTCATCAATCGTTTTCATTCTGCTTACAGTGTCAGGGAGGTGCAGACTTTGCCACCTCTGCCCACGGCCACCCTTGGGGATCCACCATCAGGCTCCTCTATCCAGTCTAAGTAATCCGCCTGCAGACGAGGAGGTCGAGAGGAGAGTCACACCCCAGGGAGAGTCTCTCCTGCTCCAGAGCCACAGGAGAAATAAAGCCCACGCAGCTAAAAACCAACCTTAAGGAAATGGGGCTGGACACAGGGCAGGCTCTGCATCTCGGAGCCTCGCCCGCTGTCTCTGAGGCTTGTCTGACTGCGCAGAAGGCAGTCATCTACTTGCTGACACTTATCAGACGGCTTGGCATAAGCTCCAGAGCTTATCCTAAGTGGGAGCAGCATCCGACAGTCACCCCAACTTCTCCCACCTTCTCAAGGGCAACACTGATTTCTCATAGGAAGGTGTAAGCTTCCAGTCTATTTTTTAAGCAGAAAACACTGACTCGTTCCAGAACACACACCTTCTAGCCCATCCCCACCTTGGGACTGAACTTTCAGAACTGTTGAGACCTCATCAGGCTCAGTGTCACCCGCGCGAAGCTACAGCGGCCTCTCCCGTTCTCAGCACCGTCCCACCACCGCGTTCACAGGGGAGAAAACCCAGGAGCGGCCCTCAGAGTGAGTGCACTGTGACCCCAGGGGAGACCTGTTCCTGTCCCCACCCACAGATGGCCTGGCGTGGGCCCAGAGACATGGAGAGATCCCCAACCCCCCTCTCTGAGCCCGGCCCTGAGGCCAACCATGAGGCCCGCTCCTCTCACAACTCTCATGCCCGCTCTGCCCCGGGGAAGCCTGACCTGCGGTGGCAGGGCCTCCAGGCCACAGCGAGTCCAAAGGGAAGCCTGTGCCCCGTGGCAGCCCCGCCACTCACCTTCCACAGCGCGCAGCGCCAGGCAGCAGAGCCCCAGGAGGACGAGCAGCAGAGGCCTCATGCTGGTGAGGAGCGAGCAGAGCCAGAGGAGGATGAGCCCAGGCTGCCCGCGGGTCTCTTTTATCCCCATGGTCAGGGCTTCCTGTGCGAGAGGGGCTTCCAGGTGGGCGGGCCATCGCGGAAAGTCTGGGCAGCACTGAGGCTTTTCTGAAAGTTCCCCTGTCACAGTCCCCCCACCCTGCGGCCTCCCCTTTTCACCTGTGGTTAAAGCGTCAATGAAAGCAAGTGTGCGCTTACAACCAACCGGCGGCCGCACCTCCTGCCCCAGCCTCCACTCAGATCTTCCGCTGTCCCCGCGGCCTGGCCCGTGTCCCTGTCCCCGGCGTGCGGACCGCGGAAAGGAAAGGTGGTCCGTGGTCGGGTTCCCACCTGCCTCCCGGGACACGCTGTGACATGGCTCCCGCCATCCGGGGGGACTCCGGAGGGGAGGGCCACTCAGAGCTCTCACTGCTCTGCCTTCTCTTTCTCCTCACCCCCCCGCCAGACCCTATTCCGGTGACCCCACTTTGTCACACCACCCGCCCAGGGACTCAGGGACATTTCGGCCACGGTGCTGGGAGCATGTCTAGAGGCACCTCCCTTTATGGCAACGGAGTATCCACCTTTTTACAGTTTCTGAAAGTTGTCCTGACATGAACATCGTTTTGGAAAGAAAGAGAGGACAAAATTGACCATGCTGGCATTTTTCATTCTTTATGTTTTCCAGGGAGTCTCTATTGGTGTCCATCTGCTTGCAGAGTTGCAACAATTGTAAGCACTGTTTTACTGTCAAGGTAACTCTCCTCCATGTTTCCATCACAGACACGTTGAAACACTCCCCTTAGCTTATTGCTATAGATCCCATCTCTACGGGATCTTTCACTTTCACTAAGGACCCTGAGTCATTTCCCATCAGCCACCAGGACCAGGATACTGAGCAAAACCATCCGCTCAGCTCCACAGACTCGGGGTCCCCCGGCAGGTGCAGGGACCCAGCGAGCAATGCCTCTACAGCAGGGCTTGGGATCGGCACTCGATACATCCTTGTTTTTGTCTAGTCCAGTTTTGCACAGGTATGGATAAGATGTACTACTTAGATACATGTGTTGCTAAAAGAGTGTCTCATTGCTATTAGGGAGAGGAAAATAAGTTCCAACATTTCCCTGAAAAGGACAGGTTAATGGCTGAGACTTCTCATTCATGGAATTTAATTCCAGCCAGCCTTCCTTCGGCACCCACAGCAGCTATGAGTTCTCTCTCCCAGGGACAGCTCTCCCTGACATGGGGCAATGCTCTTCCCTCCACGTTCCAAGGACAGATACCCAGAGTCCCCTTAGCCGCGCTGCTCCCGCACCCACACGCTGCTCTCAGCCCTGTGCTGGGTACACCTGCTAACTGCTCTTCGGTGTGTCTCCTCCTCTCTTCCCACCCTGCTCTGGGCAAGTCCTCGTCACCCCTTGCTGGGACCAGTGCAGTAGACAAACTGGGGTCCCATTCCCAGTGATGGGGAAAATGAGGCATTCTGGGGGTCCAGCAATCTGAACTGGGCCATTAACCTAACACACATTCTTCTTAGCCTATCGTCTAGTCTCTGCCCCTTTAATTGTCTGGTCCTCCCATTCCAGAGAGACCATGAACCATCCCCAGGAAGAGTTATCAGTGCTAGTGCCAGGCCAGGCCTTTAGTTGTGGTCTCAAGACCCCAGCACATGGGGCTCTCTAAGAACTTGCAAAGGGGACCAGAAAACCCTTATTTGGGAGACAAAGAACTGGAAAAATTATAAATAGGGAAAGTTTCCTCCATGCTTTTTGCCCAGAATGTGAAAGATATTTTTCTCTGAGCCCGCATGTAATAATAATTCAGTGTAACTCCGTTTCTCTAAGTGTTCCTTGGTTTTCTCCGGTTTTCTGTAACACCAGGTCACCTCCCTGTCCCATGCGCTCTCCAGACACCGCCCAGGAGTCCCTCCGCAGCCCTCAGGGAGGAGTGCTGCTCCTGCTGGGAACCTCTTGGTCAGTTCCCATTGTCCACACTCTCCTGTCCAGACTCTCCCTGTCAGACACCGGGCTGCTCAAGAGCTGACCCCACGCCACCTCTCAGACTCACTCAGCCCCACCACCCACCCGCCTGCTCCTAGGTCTGCACCTCAGCTGATGTGGGTGAAGTCAACCAGACATGCCATCCTCCTCACTCCCACGTGCGGCTTCCTTCACCTAAAGGCCATCCCAGATCCCAGCGTGACTGCAAACTGCTCCACTTTGCATGAGCATCCCGAATCCTCCAGACAAAAGGAAGCTGTGCCATCCTCTGGCCCAGGGCCCTTGGTCTCACCGCTGTCCTTTCACTAACTCATCCGACTCCCCCGGGATCTCATTCCCACGTCACCCACAGAAGGGCACCTGCTGAGCGGGCAGCGTGCCCGTCCCCTCCCGGTCCCAGCATGAACTGAAGGTCTGCTAGGGAGTCGGCTCTCCCCGGACCATTTCTGAACAAGCGAGTTCTTCCTGAAGGGCCAGGACCTGCTGACGGGGCGCTAGGTGAAGGGGAGCACCTACAAACGTGAATCCCAGAATGGTGCCTGTGGCTCTCCCTTAGTTTTTCAGTCCAACTGACGGTCTGACCAGTGGCTCCCTTTTTATGATGGCATCTTGAAATACAATCTCTCCAGCCCCTGGGCGGCAGGCCTCAGAGCGTGACTAGAGTCTGGCGGAGAAGAACAAAGTCAGAGACAAGAAAGCAGAATCCCACTTCAACACGGGCGTGACCAGCCAATGTGCTGAGGATGTTAGTCAGAACAATGTCTCCCACCCCTGACTCCTCTCTTTCTCTTACAAGCCACATCCAACCGGCCAGCAAGCACCCTTGGCTTTCTGTCCTCAAACGGAACATAAAGTCTTCTCACCTCTGCAACACTTCCGACTGCAAGCCCTTCCCCGCTTCCGCCCCCCTTCCCCTCCCCCCTGCCCTCGCCCTCACCTGAGTGAGCAGATTCCTGACACAGCCTCTCCTGCTTCCTGCTCCATTCTCCTCTGTCAGCCAGCTCACCAACCTGCCAAGGTGACCGTTTCAGCTGTAAGTCATAGCGTGTCCCTTCTCTGCTCAAAGTCTTCCAATACCTCCCCATTTTTGTCTACTAACTCCAAAGTCCCCCTCCGGTTTATTAAGATACTAGAGGCCCGATGTACGAAAATTCATGCAAGTGTAGGCCTTCCTTCCCCTGGCTGCAGGCACCACTTCCCCCTGGCACCCGGGACCAGGGCTGATTCCCTCCAGCCCCAGCTTCAACAGGAAAGACGTCTGAGATGATGTCCAGAAGACACCCGGTCTAATTAGCATATTACCCTTTTATTATTATAGACTAGAGGCCCAATGCACGAAATTCATGCACATGGGGGGTGTCCTCCAGCCCAGTCTGCACCCCATAGAATTGGGCCTAAATGGGCAGTTGGACATTCCTCTCACAATTCAGGACTGCTGGCTCCCAACTTCTTGCCTGCCTGCCTTCCTGATTGCCCCTAACCACTTCTACCTGACAGTTTGATCACCCCCTAGCCACTCCCTTGCCAGCCTGATTGATGCCTAATTGCCCTCCCTTGCCGACCTGGTCACCCCTAACTGCCCTGCCCTGTCAGCCTGCTCACCCCTAACTGCCCTCCCCTGCAGGCCTGGGTCGCTCCCAACTGCCCTCCCCTGATGGCCATCTTGTGGAGACCATCTTCTGTCCACATGGTGGCAGCCATCTTGTGTGTTGGAGTTATGGTCAATTTGCATATCACTCTTTTATTAGATAGGATAAATAATTGACATAAAACATTGTGTAAGTTTAAAGAGTTCGACATTATCATTTGATACTCATATATTTTGCAAAACTATTAACACAATGAGGTTAATTAATACCTCCATCACCTCACATAATTACCTCTTTGTGTGTGCGTGGTGAGCACATTTAAGATTTCCTCTCTTCCTAACGTTCATGCATGTAACACAGGACTTACTGATCCCAGAACCTATTTATCTCACATTAGCCAATTGTGCCCTTTGACCAACATCTCTGCACTCCTCCCCTCCCCAAACCCTGACTGACAACTTCCATTCTCTCTAGACAATTTGTTTCACTTCAGTCTTCAGTCGATTCTACCTCTGGGATGCCATACAATGTCTTTCTCTGCTCTGCCTTAATTCACTTAGCATGATGCCCTCAAGGACGAGGCCCTCTCTTTTTATTGCATAAAATTCCATTGTCCACACATACCACAGCTCCTCTCCGTCAGTCGGTGGGACCCTCAGGTTGTCTCCCTGTCTTGGCTGTGGTGACTGGTGTCGCCGTGAGCACGGAGGTGCTGCTGTCTCAGGACAGTGACTTCATTTCCTTCGCACACGTGCCCAGGTGAGCAGCTGGGTCACACGAGTGCTGTTTCCCCGTGGCTGCACCAAATTACATCCCCCACAGTGCACAGCTCTCCTTTTGCCAAGTATTTGCCAACTCTTATCCCTCGCCTGCTTGATAACAACCTTACTAACAGCTGTGGGTGTTATTTCACTGTGGTTTGGTTATCATTCTTCGCCAGATTAGCGATGCTGTGGAGATGCCTGTTCCGGTCCTCTGTCTATTTTTACTGGATTGTTGTTTTTGTTTTGTTATTAATGTTATATATTAAAAGTATATATTATAATTAGGCCTAGCTGGTAGAGCATTGGTCTGGGGACTGAAGAATCCTGAGTTTGATTCCAGCCAAGGTCATATGCCCAGGTTGTAGGCTCAATCCCCAGTAGGGGGTGTGCAGGAGGCAACTGATCAATGATTCTCTCTCATCATTGATGTTTCTATCTCTCTCTCCCTCTCCCTTACTTACTGTCTAAAATCAATAATAATAAAAAAGTTAAAATAAATAAGTACAATCATTTTGTGTGTGTATATATATATATATATATATCCTCACCTGAGTTTATGTTTAGAGAGAGGAAGGAAGAAGAGAGAGAGAGAGAGAGAGAGAGAGAGAGAGAGAGAGAGAGAGAGACATTCATTGGTTGCCTCCCGTACACACCCTGACCATGGATGGAACCTGTGACATTTCCAGTGTGCAGGACGATGCTCCAACCAAGGGAGCCCCGGGCCAGGGCCCTCTATAGTTTTTATGTTCACCCTCCCAGG